TCAAGAGCATTGTACCGGGTATAGCCAGGACCCCAGGTAAGGGGATCCGGTTAGTAGTAGGGCCCCGCAGCCTTCAAATTTGCCAGAATCACTCAACCACGGCTGCCGTAGCTGGTGTCTTTTCGGGTGACGGCAGTTCCTGTTAGTGGAACGGGGCGGGGGGGCGTCCCCCAGTACACATCCTTAAACCAGGTCCTACTAAACCCAGTCCTGCCAACGCCCGATTGTAGTGATGGATGAAGGGAGGCGGAACAGGACCAGAGCCGACAGGGCCGCAAGTTTTCGCCAAGTCGCGCACGTCGGCCACGAGAGGCACGCGACCGCCGCGTGCCGCGCAGCCGAGCCTCCACGCAGCGGAACGAGGAGGCGCGGCCTCGACCGGCAGCTGATAGCATCGTGCCGGAGGGGATGGTCTCGTGGCTCGCGGCCGCAAGCGCTTGCATGGAGGCACCTGCCGGGGGCATCACACATGGCCCCAGACCAGAAGCGGTGGAAGTGGCTCAAAGGAGGAAAAGGTACCCATACCTCTACCATTCGCCCGTTTTCCCCCTTTTGGGCCTCCTCGGAGGCCCTCGTCGCCACCGCTGGATTCGTCTCGAAAACCTGGTCAGAACGCACCCCGGGAGAGGTCCGGGGAGCAGCGGTATCGGTACTTTTTTGTCTCCCCAGTTGCGAGCTGCCTGACATGGGGGTGGGCCTGGGCACGAGGAGAGACGAGGGAGGGATTGGGCAGGAGGAGAATCGAAGAAACCAATCTCGATGGAAAACTATTTTTTGGCGCTCCGCGCTGATTTCTTGTATCCGCGCTGGGCCCCCCTGGTGGCGTCTCCGGCGCCGCCCCTGGCGCGCTCCGCGCGCCAGGGAGGGGGGTCTAGCGCAGATGCAAGAAATCCGCACGGAGCGCCACAAGTTTGTGTTTGCGCCGTTGTTTTTTCTCCTAGAGTGTTTTTTTCTCTAGAGACTGGCATCGCTCGGACGTGTGTATTTGTTTCTCGGCGAGGACCCTCGAGGAGCATCCTTGATCATTTGGCGAAAAAAAAAAACACGCACGACACCGAAACATGCACGGGAAATGGACGTCCGAGCGATGGCCAGAGAAGCACCAGTGGTAATGAGAGGGGAATCTCCCTCCTTCGCGCGCCCCCGCCCTCCGTGCTGCCCCCCCTCACGCTGCCGTCGACCAGGGAGCCGTCGGCTCGAGGCGCGCGCCTGCCTGGCCGCGTGGGCGCGCTGCCTCGTCGACGGCCCCCCTCGCCTCCGACTCTGCCCCCTCCGTGTTCTCGCCGTCGCCTCCTCCTCGTCTCCTGGGCTTATGGAGGGCGATCAATGGAGAGGAAGCATGTTGCCCAATACTTTCCAGATGTCTAGGACATGTGTTAACATTGGTTTTAAAATGTAATTTTCATGCTTAAGACATGCTTAGAACATGTTTCTTACATTTCAAACACATTTTTAATTCAAGGATAGGACTGTTAGGGTGTCCATTGTCGTGGCATCCGCAATTCTAGGCCTCTTGGATGGGGCCGGAGTAGATGGGGTCGGAGGATCGCGCCGCGTCGTCGATGCATCGGCGATGCGGCTCGATGCGGAGCCCGATTTCCTCCAAGCTGGCGTCGCCGATGCATCGCCGATGCATCGGCGATGTATCGGCGATGCGGCGCGATCCTCCGGCCTCATCTACTCCGACCCAATATGGGGGGCCTCTATGTTTGCCGCATCCTATCCTCCCCCCCTCGCTCCTCCAGGCCCTCGTCTTGCCATCGCGCCTTGTCATCGATCCTCCCTCCCTACCTGCTCCCGTTCCTGCTTCTCCCCTTTCCGTTTCCTCCTGCTCGCTTCCTTCCCTTTTCCCCTACCTCCTCGCTCTCTCCTCGCTGAGAGGATCAGAGCAAAGAGGGGCAAATGGACGTCGGGGAACGGGGGAACAAATAGGAGGACAACGGCCTTTCCATCTTTCTCTTCTCTCCTATCTCGCTCCTCCCGCAACGCTGCATCGCTCTCCTGCCTTGGTAATTTGCATTCTCCTTCGCCTCCTTCTCATCCTCCTTCCTTGGTTATTTGTCATCTGCTGATTATCCCCTTGGTTGTCTGGTTCCGCCTCGGTTCCACCCCATCCTTCGTCCTCAGTTTGTAATCCTTCCTCAAGATCTCAATTCGCCTTCGCATTCATCCGCAACCGCTCGATTCTTCAACTTCGCGTTTATCTTAGCACGTGCCCCCCTCATCTGTCACTTATGTTTCTGTGTCATCCTTGCCGCCTGCTTCCTCCTCGTTTCTTCCGCTTCCCCCTCCCCCTCTGTTATCAGCCGTCCCCTTGTCTGCCTCAGCCCGCCTTTTCCCCCCTCCTCCTCTCTGAGGTGCATGCGTTCATTCTATTTACCATCATTAGTACGTACCCTTCGCGTTCTCAACAGCCTCCTCCCTGAGTTCTTCATTCGCGCGTCCGTCTCCTCTTCCTTCCCCCTCCCTCTGCCTCCGTCCTCTTTTGTGGCCGTCGTCCCCAGACCTCCTATGTTGTGTCTTGTTCTCGTCGTGGGCCCCCACATTTCTAGACCCCATCCCCGGGACAAGTTTCTCACCTTGAGTCGTTGTTCGATGTTCCCGTGGCTCAGGGACGGCCACTGGCGAACGAAATGGAGAAACCCAGCTGGTAGTGTTTTTGTCACAATGCCTGGAGGTCTGGGTCATGGGGCTCCTCCTCATCCTCTTCCTCCGCTCAGGCAGCTGCTTGGCGGGCTGAACCGCCCTGCCTCGCGAATCTGGGCTCGCCCTGGCGACGTCAAGGGCGCGCGTTTCTCTGTTACTTCTCGCACGGTTCGATCGGTGCTGGCCTTCGCCATGGGTTGCGCCATCAGTGGGTTGCGCCACGGGTTGCGCGATCCACGGGTTGCGCCGTTGCGGCCCCGTGGGCGCCCCATCCGTGGGTTGCGCCACGGGTTGCGCTGCGCGTGGGTTGTGTTGGTCCTGCGATCCATTGGTTGCGCGGTCTGGGGTTTGCGCCATGGGTTGCGTCATGGGTTGCGCATTCGGCGGCTGGGTTTTCAACGGCATGTTTTCGGCTGTGGTACAGGCTGCGGACTCCGCGACCAAGAACATGACGATCTGATACCAGTTGCGCCATAGGTTGCGCACTCGGCGGCCGAAAGTATACCGGCCACCTGAATGGGTGCGACCAGTCCATTCCAGTCTACTTGGTCAGAAAGCAAAGTATGGCTACGCCCGGAATCACAGTCACCCGCATGGTCTCGGGACGTCTGGGAGCCCACGTCACCAAACGTCAGATGTCAGCGGGGGACTTTTTTTGTTTTGTTCCCAACCATCCTGTGGTGTTGGGTCTTCGTTTTGAAGAGAGCGCCCCGCGTCTCCTCTCCTCTCCTCTCCTCTTCTCCACCCCCTCATCCCTCTTCCCATCCGCCTCGTCATCGTCACCGTCATCGTCATCATCCTCGCCATGATCCACAGCATCATGATCATCGCCATCGTCAGCGCCGCGCCCCTCACAAGGTTCGTGGCACCACAGGGAGCTCCACCGAAGGCTAAAGTGGCAGCGGTATACTGTTCGTGGCCCCATGGGGGAGCTCCACCGAAGGCCCCAGCGGGAGCGTCCGCATGGCACCGCCGCCCCATTTCGGCACACTCCTCACACGGTTCGTGGCCCTAGAGGGGAGCTCCACCGAAGGCCCCAGCGGGAGGGTCCGCATGGCACCGCCGCCCTATTCTGGCACATCCCTCACACGGTTCGTGGCCCCATAGGGAGTTCCACCGAAGGCCCCAGCTGGAGCGTCGGCAAGGCACCGCCGCCCTATTCTGGCACACCCCTCACACGGTTCGTGGCCCCATAGGGAGCTCCACCGAAGGCCTCAGCGGGAGCGTTCCCATGGCACCGCCGCCCCATTTTGGCACGCCCCTCACACGGGTCGTGGCCTCGTAAGGAGCTCCACCGAAGGCCCCAGCGGGAGCGTCCGCATGGCACCGCCGCCCCATTTCGGCACACTCCTCACACGGCTCGTGGCCCCGGAGGGAGCTCCACCGAAGGCCCAGCGGGAGCGTCCGCATGACACCGCCGCCCCATTTTTGGCACACCCCTCACACGGTTCGTGGCCCCATAGGGAGCTCCACCGAAGGCCCCAGCTGGAGCGTCCGCATGGCACCGCCGCCCCATTTTGGCACGCCCTTTACACGGTTCGTGGCTCCACAGGGAGCTCCAGGGAAGGCTCCTGCGGGAGCGTCCGCACGGCACCGCCGCCCCATTTTGGTACACCCTTCAGACAGTTCGCGGCCCCCATAGGGAGCCACACCGAATCCCCAGTGGGGGGCGTCCGCATGGCACCGCTGCCCCATTTCGGACGCGTCTCACGGTTCGCGGCCCCAGAGGGAGCTCCACCGAAGGCCCTTGCGGGAGCGTCCGCATGGCACCGCCGCGTCATTTCGGCACATTCTTCGCACGTATCGTGGCCCCATTTGGAGCTCCACCGAAGGCCCCAGTGGGAAAGTTCGCATGGCACCGCGCCCATTTCACACACCTCACACGTATCGTGGTCCATATGGAGCTCCACGGAAGGCTCCCGTGGCGACGTTCGCAGGAGTCCTCCCGACTCATGTCGGCACACTTTTCACACGCTTCGTGGCAGAAGGCCATACCGCGTGCGCTACTCGGAGGTTGCGCGCCCCCCTCCTCCGCCTCACCTCCCTCGCGGCACTCGCCGCTGCATTATGGTCGCGTCCTTCGTCAGGCTAGTTGTGTTTGTTCTTGGCCTTGCACGGGGCGCCCTCGTCTCCACGGCTGGGTCCGCCTCGCAGCCCTGCCCCGAAAGCGCTCCAGCAGAGATGGGGGTGGGGTGTGTGTGTGTGTGTTGTGTCTCCTCGGCTCTGAGGACGATTGGGTATTTGTGAAGGGCGCCCCCCCCCCCCCCCCCACACACCCCTCGAAGACAGCCTGAGAAAAAAAAAAACATGAGTCCCGCCTACGTCGTTTACAAGGCGAGCCCATCAGAGAGAGGATGATCAAGTTTATCCTCATGGTGAATAAGCAGGGCCAAACCCGCCTGGCGCAGTACTACGACTATCTCACGGTGCGTGAGCGTGTGACCCTCGAGGGAGAGTTGATCCGCAAGTGCTTGTCCAGGAGTGAGAACCAGTGCTCCTTCGTCGAGTACCGGCAGTACCGCGTAGTGTACAGGCGATACGCATCCCTGTATTTTATCATAGGCACCGACAGCGAATCGGACATGAACGAGTTGGCCGTCCTCGAGTTCATCCACACGCTGGTCGAGACATTGGACAAATATGTTGAAAACGTGTGCGAGTTGGACATCATGTTCAATTTGGAGAAGGCCCACATTATTCTCGACGAGATGGTGCTCGACGGCTGCATCATTGACACGAACAAGGCAGCTTGTTTGAACCCGCTGTATCTGCTGGAGAAGCACTCCGCGTGAACCAGCCTGCGGCGCACCGTAGTGTTGGATCCAGTTTGGAGGCTTGTGAGAGAGCTATGGCTGGTGTTGGCGTATCTCGCTTCAGCAATATTGCGAAGGCCTTACGGCCGGTGCCGCCGACCCTGAAGGGAGACGACGACGACAATGGCGGTGGCGGCGACGACGACGCTGACGTGGGCCAGAGTCCTCAGGGATGATTGGGCCTCTTCGGAAGGCGGCCTCTGTGGAGGAATTCGGGGGCCTCTTGGGAGCCTCTTGTGGGCCTCTTGGGGGCCTCTTCGGGCCTCCTGGGGACCTTGTGGGCCTCTTGGGGCCCCTTGGGAACCTCCTGGGGCCTTCTGGGAACCTCTCGTGGCCGAGCGCTCGAAATGTCCTTTCGGGTCCCCCGTCTGGGTACGCTCGTGAAGCCGTCTTGGGGGCCTCTTGCGCCGTCTTGGAGCAGCTGGAGATGGAAAATGCGTGAACCCCGAATAGGTAAAGCATCCAACGGCAAATCAACGAGCTTCACCACTTCGGGCCCTCTCGGGAGTGTTCTAGGAGGCTTCTTGGGACGTCCTGGGGGCCTCCTGGGCAGTTTTGGAGGGCGCGCAGGCGTTCCGTACCGATCGTTTGGCGATTGGGGACCCTCTTGGACCGTCTCGGGGGCCTTTTGGGGCACTCCTGGCCTGTCTTGGTACTTTTTGAGGCCACCGGACCCTCAGGGGGGGTGCGCAGCTGACCCCCCCCCCTTCCACCCCCGACCCCCCCCTTCCGACGGGGGAGGGATAAAAGGAAAAGGGCTTCCTTTCGACTCGATCACGACATTGCTAGAGTTGGATTTCGCTCACAAGTTTGAGGAGGAGGGTGCATGAAAAGGGAGCGACAGCAGACGACGACAGACGGAGACGACTCGAATAGACCAGCCCCCCATACACTCCGACAGGGTCGGCGGATTCTTGTCCGGCCTCTATCCTAGTTTCCCCTCACTGTTAGCACGCATTCTTCATGTGGCGAGGAACGCTGCCTTCGCGCCGCAAGCGGACAGGCCCGACAAAATCCAAAAGCCTGGGCAGTGTTGCTGGTCTTCATCGAGCCCCCCCTCTCTACCCTCTTCGTTTGCGAGGCACTCTGGTCAGATCCCTCCTCGTCAGGCATTGCGCAGCCTCCAGCTCTTCTAGGGGGCTCGTTCTTTTTTGTTTGGGGATCTCGCGTCGCCACCTCGCGGTCGAAATACGGACTGAAGCCGGCGAAGCGAATGAGGAACTAGCCGGTCAGCGGCCGATCCCATGTGAATCTCGTGAGGTGTGGGTATAGGGGCGCCCTTGAAACATCTACTCCGTCTTGTCCAGCGCTCCCGATCACGTCTTGTGTTGCGTTTACTCTTCTCTGTAATGGTTCCCCAAACTGTGCTACACTCAAGGTTTCTCATTTCTGTTCTAAGGAACTGAGCCTGATTGTCAGTGTGGGGGCTATGTTGTCGCCGTCGCCGCCCCGTCACCGCCGCCCGTCATCTGGGCCTGACTGTCGGCCAGGCGGCTATATTGTCGCCGTCGCCGTCCCGTCGACGCTTCGTCGACGCCCGTCGTCTGGGCCTTATTGTCGTTCTGGCGTCTATGTTGTCGCCGTCGCCACCACGTCGCCGCTTCTTCGCCACCCGTCGTCTGGGCCTGGTTGTGGGTATGGCAGCTATGCTGTCGCCGTCGCCGTCCCGTCTCGCGAGCTCACATAGCTGCACCACAAAGGTTGCACCACTTGGAGTGCACCCCGTCTTCGCCTCGTCTCCCCCCGTGATCTGGGCCTGATTGTTGGTTTGGCGGCTATGGTGTCGCCGTCGCCGCCCCGTCGCCGCCTCGTTGCGGTTTCGCATCATTGCACCACGTAGATTGTACCACATGGGTTCTCCTTTCTCAACATAGAACAGACTCTCCCCCCCCTGGCGTTATCCCCACCCCTGTCGGGTATGTAACTCATGTATGATTCTGACCACATGTCCATCCTAAACATGAATTTACACTATCCCAGAGGGGCCGGGAACGGCCCCCCTGAGGTTCCCTGGTAAAAAAAAAAACGATATGCGGGGACATCTTTTGCTCCAACATAGCACTTTTTCGCGAATCCCCTGCAACAAAAATCGACGAAGTGCGCACGCGCGCGTCGTCGCGCGCGCATGCCGAAATCGTTCAAAAACCTTCGGTGTCGGAAGGATTTCGCAATCGAGTTTCCTAAAAACATACCAAAACACAGGGTTTCGCAACACTGATTTGCTAAGAAAGCTTCCGCGCGAGCTCTTGCGAAGTCTCAGGGTCAACCATAGGTTTTTCAACATTTTCACAAAATGCTACCAAACGGGATTCGAGCGCGCACATGTTGAAATCTGACGAACGCCCTTGCGCGTGTGCCGTCGCGAGGACCCTCTGCAAAAAAATACGACGAAGTGCAGACGCGCGCGTCGTCGCGCGCGTGCGCCGAAATCCTTCAAAACCCATCGGCTTCGGAAGGATGTCAACATCGTGTGTCCAAAATACCAGCAAAAAACACAAGGTTTCGCAACAGGGATTTTTCAACAAAAGCGTGCGCGCGCGCGCTCTCCCTCCTCCCGCGTCGTCGGCGTCGTCGTCGCCTACGTCGTCCTCTGTCTTCCTCGTGTTCGTCGTCGTCGTCGTCTTCTTTGGCGTCGTGGTCGTTTCCCTCGTCGTTGTCGCCGTGGTCGTCCTTCCTCCTCCTCCCTCGTCGTCGTCGTCATCCGTCGTCGGCGTCTCGTCGTCTTCCCTCCTATTGTGTCGCTGTCGTCGTCGTCGTCGTCGTCGTTGTCGTCGTCGTCGTCTTCCCTCCTCCCTCGTCGTTGTCGTCGTCGGCGTCGCCGTCCTTCCTCCTTCTTCGTCGTTCGCGTCGTCGCCGTCCTCCCTCCTCCCTCGTCGTTGTCGTCGTTGTCGTCGTTGTCGCCGTCGTCGTCCTCCCTCCTCCCTCGTCGTCGTCTTCGTTGGCGACGTCTTCGTCGTCGTCGTCGGCGTCGGCGTCGTCGTCGTCTTCGTCTTCGTCGTCGTCGACGTCGGCGTCGTCGTCGTCGCCGCCGTCGTCGTCGTCGTCTTCGTCGGCGTCGTTGACGTCGTCGTCGTCGTCGTCGGCGTCGTCGCTGTCGTCGTCGTTGGCGTCATCATCGTCGTCGTCGTTGTCATCGTCGTCGTCGGCGTCGGCGTGGGCGTCGTCGTCGTCGGTGTCGTCGTCGTCGTCGTCGTTGTCGGCGTGTTGAAGTCGTTGGAGACGTCGTCGGTGTCAGCGTAGTCGTTGTCGGCGGCGTCGTCGTCGTCGTTGTCGCTGTCGTCGTCGGCGTCGCTGTCGTTGCCAAGTGCCATTTGGTACCCACCGTCACGGTCTTAAGAGATTTTGCAAACCAAGTTGCGGGTGGGTGGGTGCGATGTTTGCGCGAGCAGTGGAGTGGACAACTTACTGCGAACAGAAATTATTTCTCCGTTCTAACAAGAGAAAAGACTCTACCCCCCCGGCGTTATCCGCCCCTCTTTCGGGTATGTAAATCATATATGAGTCTGGCCACATGTCCATCCGAAATATGAATTTACACTATCCCACAGGGGCCGGGATCGGCCCCCCTGAGGTTCCCTTGTAAAATACGATACGCGGATGCCTTTTTCGCGAATGCCTTTCAAAAAATGAGACGAAGTGCGCACGCGCGCGTCGTCGCGCGCGCATGCCGAAATCCTTCAAAAACCCTCGGTGTCGGAAGGATTTCGCAATCGAGTTTCCTAAAAACATACAAAAACACAGGGTTTCGCAACACTGATTTGCTAAAAAAGCTTCCTCGCGAGCTCTTGCGAAATCTTGGGGTAAACCATAGGTTTTTCAACAGTTTCACAAAATGCTACCAAACGGGCTTCGCGCGCGCACATGTTGAAATCTGTCGAACGCCCTTGCGCGTGTGCCGTCGCGAGGATCCTCTGCAAAAAATTTGGGCGAAGTGCAGACGCGGGCGTCGTCGCGCGAGTGCGCCGAAATCCTTCAAAACCCATCGGCTGCGGAAGGATGTCAACATCGTGTGTCCAAAAATACAAGCAAAACACAAGGTTTCGCAACAGGGATTTTTCAACAGAAGCGTGCGCGCGCGCTCTTGCGTCGTCGTCGTCGCCGTCCTCCCTCCTCCCGCGTCGTCGTCGTCGTCGTCGCCTACGTCGTCCTCTGTCTTTCCTCATGTTCGTCGTCGTCGTCTTCTTTGGCGTCGTGGTCGTTTCCCTCGTCGTTGTCGCCGTGGTCGTCCTTGCTCCTCCCTCGTCGTCGTCGTCGTCCGTCGTCGGCGTCTCGTCGTCGTCCCTCCTATTTCGTCGCTGTCGTCGTCGTCGTCGTTGTCGTCGTCGTCGTCTTCCCTCCTCCCTCGTCGTTGTCGTCGTCGGCGTCGCCGTCCTTCCTCCTTCTTCGTCGTTCGCGTCGTCGCCGTCCTCCCTCCTCCCTCGTCGTTGTCGTCGTTGTCGTCGTTGTCGCAGTCGTCGCCCTCCCTCCTCCCTCGTTGTCGTCTTCGTTGGCGACGTCGTCGTCGTCGGCGTCGTCGTCGTCGGCGTTGGCGTCGTTGTCGTCTTCGTCGTCGTCGACGTCGGCGTCGTCGTCGCCGCCGTCGTCGTCGTCGTCATCGTCGTCGTCGTCGCCGTCGGCGTCATTGACGTCGTCATCGTCGTCGTCGGCGTCGTCGTTGTCGTCGTCGTCGGCGTCATCATCGTCGTCGTCGTTATCATCGTCGTCGTCGTCGGCGTCGGCGTCGTCGTCGTCGGTGTCGTCGTCGTCGTCGTTGTCGGCGTGTTGAAGTCGTTGGAGACGTCGTCGGTGTTGTCGTAGTCGTTGTCGGCGGCGTCGTCGTCGTCGTTGTCGCTGTCGTCGTCGGCGTCGCTGTCGTTGCCAAGTGCCATGTGGTACCCACCGTCACGGTCTTAAGAGATTTTGCAAACCAAGTTGCGGGTGGGTGGGTGCGATGTTTGCGCGAGCAGTGGAGTGGACAACTTACTGCGAACAGAAATTAT